TGGATTATCTGAGTGGCCCTAAATTCAATCACAACCATCCTTAAAAGAGAGAGACAGAGGGAGATTTGACACATGCTGAAGAGGAGGCCATGTGCTCATGGAGACAAAGAATTGAGTGACATGAACACAAACCTAGGGATGTTGGCAGCCACCAGAAGCTAAGAGGCAAGGAATAGATTCTCCCCTGGAGCTCTAGAGCCTCCAGAGGGAGTATGGCCCTGCTGACACCTTAATCTCAGCCCAGTAAAACTAATTTTAGACTTCTAGCCTCCAGAACTGTGAGAGAATACATTTCCATTCTTGTAAGCAACGATGTTTGTGGTAATGAGCAAGTTCACACAGAATAGATCCACATTCCCCTCTCCCTAAGACTCTGGACTCTTCCCTTTATAGTACTCTGGGAAAGTTCTGACATTTCCACCTAGTTGACTGTAGGCAGCTATTGTGTCAATGTTACCATCATTTCCAGGTTCTCAAGCCAATATGTTAAATCACGTTTCCTGTGTGAATACACCAATATCAATATGCCTGGCCTACCTTATGTCATCCTTTTTGGTTTAATACCCTTAGAATCTACTCTCATACTTGTTCCCCAGACTCCTACCAGTGCAAAGTGATAATATCCTGTACAGGTGCCTTCTCTTGGGCCTAATCTTGTACTCGTCTGGGATATGCTGGCATCTAATTGATTATTTTCCGGAGTGTAAAGATGGATAGTAGGTGTGGATCCTGATATCCCCTCATGAAAGAATTTTCTTAGGTGAAGTCACTGAAAGCTTTTTTTCTTGGGTGTATGGCAGTTGGGGTAAGACTGTTTCCCTCAGAGAGAAGGGGTTGCTTCTGTCAGCTACAAAAGACAAGATATTCCCCTAAAGCTGCCGTAATAAGTTTTCTGATGTTTCACGCTTGCTTTCAATTTATCCTTTTTCCTGTGTGTACATCCTGGACATCCAAAATGACTAGCCCGTGACTTCCTTGGTGCTCTGGGGGCATGGGTTCGATCCCTGGTTGGGGAACTAAGATCCCACATGCTGCGTCGTGTGGCCAAAAATCAAAAAAGAAACAAAACAAACAAAACAGAACTATTAGCCCTCACAACAGCCTCTGTAATCCCCATCATGGCCATAGTGACAAAATGCCACATCCACTTGATCTTCCTCACTGTCTTCCAACACCTCACACCACCATTAGTGATAATGTGAGTAAATGTGAAATCACCTCTTGCCACAAGTATCCATTTCCCCTGACAAGGAAGGTATTTGTATATCCACCAAATGCATGCAATGCAATTCCAGAATCCTACTTTGAGGCTGTGTTTCTAGGAGCTACTCATGGTACAAATTACTATATTATACAGGTCTGCAGCAGGAAACAGATGGCACACCCAAATTGAGTGAGCAAAGAGTGTAGGCAAGGATAAAGGAAATTACAAGAGATGGTGAAGCAGCCTGGGCTAAGCAAGAGCAAGATGTTTCTACTCAAAGGAAGAAAAGGCAACGAAAACTGGTTGCTGAACCTATGAGATCTACTTCTGGGCTATGTCAGGAGCTGTGATGTAGAAGAATACAGCTATTTCCAAACCACTGCATGGGAGGAAGGCAAGAAAATACACTCCCTGACCTCTTTCCCTTCCCACCCAGTCTTCTCCTAATGGTTTCTCCCATTTGCAACACTCAACCAAGGAAAAGGGATTCTGGTTAATATTGTGCATAGAAGTCAACTTCCCAGGGTACTGAGCAGGGTGAAGGGTAGAGCACATTTAGAGGGGGGAGAGCCAGTTTAGCAGGCTTCCTGCTAAGGCAGTACTAGGAAGAGCACAGAAAGAGTGCTAAGTATCAACAGAAATAACATGGTACTGTTAGGACCACCAAACTTCTGGGCTTCCACTAGCCTACTGCTTAAGGTCTAGGCCAGTAGAAGAGCGGCCTTACACCTAGCACATGGGTGCTTTCTCAGAGGTGACCTGCAAAGGTATGCACTATGCCAAGCGTTAGGCTCTACTTCTGATTAAGTATTCAACAAATTGCACTTTTCATCCCCCTAATGTTGGTTCCTTTCTAACTTTTCCACTGAAGAATGATCCTAAAAGAACAGTGACTGCATATTCCTAGGCAGGAAAATTCCTTTGCAGTCCCCTGCAACTTGTCTTAAAACTTGGGCAAGTTTGCATTCTATTTTACTATTATCTGTATTGCTTTCATCATATTCTTTCCGAAAATTTAGATTAAAATGAACGCCTCCAGGTGTCCTATTGTAACTCCTAAGGGTGACTGCTAACCCCTAAGGGTATGTATAATGTCCTTTAAATTTCTGCTTAAGTGAGCTGATTATTCTTACACTGTTGTCACTTTTAAGACATCCAATCCTGATGTTTCCATTCTAATAGGAAAATACAGGATATAAGTACATAACACTATGCACAGACTATGGATGCATACACAAGTAGTTAAGTGCATAAAACTACAAGTGATACAAGTTACCTCTGGAGAGGGAAAAAGGAATAGGACTGGGGGTGATGCCGAAACTTAGCCTCTGTGCACCGGCGCTGAATTGAATCTTGGAGACAGAGTTTTGTGTGAAGTAGAAAAGAACTTTATTGCTTTGCCGGGCAAAGGGGGACACAGTGGGCTAATGCCCTCAAAACTGTGTCCCAACCTGGAAGGATTTGGTGAGGAGTTTTACAAGAATGGTTCAAGGGTGAGGTTGCTGATAAAGATCAGGGTGTGTGCAGGGCCTGCATTCCTTTAATCTGGCCTCAGGTGTTCTCCTGATGAGCTTCTTGTGGTTCTGGATGTTATCCAACTGTGACCTTCTCTCTGGAATAAAGAATGCTTCATCAAGTAGTTAATAACTTCCATTTGTTGGGGATTTTAGTTCTGCAGAAGAGCTCAAAGATATTGTTATGTGTATCCCTTGAGGCAGAACTAGGACCCTGCACTATTGTTTGACTGCTCCTCCCTTGTCTCTGCATCCCCTCCCTCCCCTGATTAGCAGCTGTTTGAATCTGCCCTTTGCAACTCAGGGAAGGTCATGGAGACAAGCCTATTCCCTACAAACAAGAAAGAGAGAACACAGAAAGGCTTCCATGCCCAAGAGCCCCACAGAGTCCTGCTTGGTTTCAGGGGTGAGAGCTATTTAGCAGTATCTTTGGGATAAAAAATTTGAGGCAAATATGGCAAAATAGTGTTAAACTAGTTGTTGGTGACACACCTGGCATTATTTCATGAAATCAGCAAAAACTACAAATAAAGGCTCCCAGGCCCAAGCATCCCTGCCCCAGGATTGCTTACATTCATTTACAGCAAATCACTGAATTTAGTAGAGCACAGTTCAGACTCTGGATCTAGGCTATCTGGTTCAAATATGGAGTCCACTGTATAATGGTGGTATGATCTTTATTTAGTAAGTTGCTTAACATCTCAGTACCTTATTTTTCCCACCAGTATACTGAGGATAATAGGACTTACCCTATAAGGTTATGAGGATTGAAGAGCTTGATACATGTGAAGCACTTACAAAGGAAGACAGGTATTCTACTATAAACACTCTCAGACAAAGAATATTAATTGGAGATATGTCCAAAGACTTCTGCCAATCCCAAATTCACAAACACTGATGGCATATTTTCCCCATAAAACGAAATAATTATTAGCTCTCTTCACATCCCTTTTAATATGATCTATTACTAGGAGATGGAACTGTTTTCAGGCATATTTTTGATCAAAGATGTATGTATATACATGTATGTATAAATCTGTTTAGTTGTTCAAGTTCAGTTGGCAGTCCTTCAGCCAGTGAGGCTATTTAGTTACCCAAATCTAATTAGTTTCTGAGGTTCAGATACTTAGTAGTAAGGATGGTGAATACTTTAATTGAAAAATATATCCAAATCTATTCAATTCCTGAGTTTGAATAGCAAGGGGTATGTGAATATGTGTATGTGCACACGTACACACATAGATCCATTTTTAAAAGTCAATCCATCAGAGTTCCTATGCAGGAAACTATTAACAGAAACCATTTTTTTTGCCAGAGCTGAATTATGTTTACTGTACAAAGAAACTAAAACTGTCCAAAATGAGCTCAGGAATAGTGTGAGTGTGGACGGCAGCAAAGGGTAGTGTTGATATGGTGAATGCATCTATAGTTAGATCTCCTATACCACTCTGCAAAAAAATGTATCTCCTGTGCCCCATTTGTTCTCAGGGAGCTACTTGAGGATATGATCCACACAAACGAAGGAGTAAATCTAAGACAGACATGAGATATAGGAAATGGGAAACCAGGGAATCCAATATTGGGGAGACACAAGCAATTCCTAGGATGATGGTGAAAAGAGATTCCAAGATGACAGCTGTGCACCAGTCACAGAAGGTAAAAAGTCCAGACTGGACAAAACAGATTATTGCTCCAGAAGCAATTTCTTCAAGATGGATGAAATTGATAAAACAACTGGTATGTCTGAACATAGAGTTTTGGATTTAATTAGCAATAAGTATATAGAAACTTATGTAAACAAAATAAATTATTAAGTCAGCAGTACAGGGTAAGAATAACATCACTTAGCTGTACAGTGTTACAGTAATCTTAATGATGTAAACAGTCTTAATCACAGTCAATAATGTAAACACTGAATTACATATGCTGGGAAAAGGGGAGCAGGAAGGGTAAGTGCAATGGTTGGGAAGCAGAAGAACAAAGCTTTATATCAGGAATTAAAGAAATACCTCAAACTGAAAACAAGTAAAAGCAATATAAGCATGTTACCTGAAGATATGGTAATAAATAACAACAAAATAAAACCAGTGAAACAGCTTGCTCTGGGGACAGGAAATAGGAGAGGAAGGTCAAGGGAGTGGTATTTTTCATTTAGAAAAAGAATTTTTTATAGATCTATTTGATTCTAAACTATGTGAATCCATTTGACTCTATGTGAAACTTTAAGTAATAACAGAACCCCCCACCCCCACAAATCTAGCATGGTACCTGGCTCATAAAAATTCAATAATGTTAATTATTTTATTATTATAATGACAAGAAAGATGACAATTTTTCACATCACCATTACACTCATGCTAGGGATAACAATGCTTCCTCAACTATAAATGCTATTTGATCTTTTTAAAACATGTTATTTACTATGCTTGGAATATATGGGCATGCTTAATGAAATAAAAAATTATAAAACATTCCAAATTTTTTTTTTTACTTAAGCAAAGTATCTAATTTTATACAATTTACACACAACTTTTAACCAATGAAACTATTTCACTTCTTGACATTCAACAATTATAAGACTTTAACTCCCCAAGACATGCACTACAACCACAGAATAGATTCTGTCATCAATATGATGGTCTTGGCATCTTATATATAATGTTTCCACTTTAAATTAAGTCTTATTACCAAAATAGAAACAGGCTAAGATAATGAACAGGAAGTTTATAAAAAAAGAATACTAACAGCGAATAACAACACTGACATACCAACCTCATTTGTAATGAAAGAAACACAAATTTAAAAAATAAGGTACCATTTTTCACCTATTTTGGCATAGATTAATTTTTTAAAAAAAGATCCTATCTACAGATGACCAGAGAGTATGTAGGTGGGGGGTGAGAGAGTGGTCACACATATAACAATAACTAGAAGTATAAGTTGTACAGCCTTTTTAGAGAACGAGATTTGGCAATACTTATAGAGGCTCTAAAAATGTTTATTTAATTCCTTTGAACCAATCATTCCATTTCTAGAAATTTACTTTCTTAAGGACATAATTAAACATGTACCTCAAAATGTGGTTACAAGGATATTCAACAAATCACTGCTTATAGTAAAAACTGCAGACATTCAAAATGTCTAACACAGAAGAAAGAATGAGTAAATTGTGGCACACCTCCATTATGGCAGACACTGGGCTTCCCCTAGATGTCATTCCCCCAGACTTTGCCTTAGCTTCTTCCTTACCCAACCCAAAAGTGTCAGAGGTCAACTTTCTCGGTGACCTGATCTGAGTCAACAGAAACTTTGTGGAAATTTTCTGGGGGCTCTTAAGAAAAAATCTTCCTCACTGACAAAACTGAGATGTGAGAGGAAAAACAGCCTTTCCTACCTTTTAGATACAATTTTTATGAAGATGTGAAGCTGGAAGTTACAGCAGCAGCTCTTACAACCACGAGGGAGACAAGCCTAAGGCAAAACCAATAAGCTGAGGCTAGGCAAAAAAAAGCGTCCTTAATGACACCTCTGAACTGTTTATGTGAGACAATAAATGTCCTTGGTTACTTAAGTCGATGATATTTGAACATTATTACCTCTGGTCAATAGCATCCTGATAGAAACCGTACAACACAATACTTTAGAGTCACTAAAAGTTACGCTACAGCAGTATATTTATGAACAGTAGATGTACAGTTCAGAGAAAAAAAAATTAAAAATAGTATGTTCCCATTTAAAAAAAGAGTAACTATGTTAATATGGAATCGTTTGCCAAGAAAAAGGTCTGGGAAGATACTCCAGGTTTTAGGGATAGTTACCTCTGAAATAGTTATCTCTGAAAGATAGGAATTCCAATGCTCCCTTCTTGTGAATTCACATTTTCTGTTGCTTTCTAAAATGAACATATATCACTTTAAGATTCTCCCACCAGTTTCTATTTCTTCAGTAAATCCAATGCGATTTTGGGGAGGAAGAAGAGGTAAACATGTATTCTAGTGAGCTATCCTGAACTGGGAGTCTGCCTTTTTAATAGGAAAAGTTGTTTCTTCTTTTTTAAACTGTTTTGTGAAATAAAATTTGATACTCTCAGGCATTTATTTTTTAGTGAATACAGAAGATTACAGTTTTCATTTCCCTTTTTACTTAGAAAATCATATCATGACTTTGTACCATTTCGTATTGAAATTTCTTCTGTGAAGCAAAAACAGTCCCAAAATGAAGGATCTTCAGGGGTCATAGGAACAGCAGATGATATTAAATCATTAAAGGTGAGAATAGTAAACTGCCTCTGGGTTGGTTTAGAATCACCTTGAAATGAAACCTAAAAGGGTAAAAAATTAGATTACCTCTATGTTATACTGCATATTAATCTTATGGTCAATTTTGTAATTAGGAAAATAAGAAATCAGTAATCACATTTCAGCAATAGTAAATTATACTTCAATAACATTAAATTACAACACAGGAGCATTTCTAGATAATTGCTTCTACTCCTTATATTAGTGTTGCCAATATAACAAATCAAGAAAAATATGAAATAACCTGATTCTCAAACTTTTTGTAGATAAAAATAACCTGTGGTATTTGTTTAAAATGTAGATTTACTGAGCCACACATCCAAAAATTCTGATTCAGTAGATGAGTCAAAAAGGATCCCAAAATATATAACTTTAACAAGCAGGTGGGTTATTCTGATAGAGAGGGACCACCAGGCAAACTTTTGAGAAATACTCTAGAGGGTGCGTCTGATAAAATACCCATAACCACACAGAGATGCAACACTTCATTAGGAAATGACTCATTCAACACTAAATTTAAACTATATCTTATACTCCGTGACAGAGCCCTTGTTCACAACTCAGTCTGGTGTGGACTGTCTTTAACATTCTATACATTCTACTAAAGATAGTACTTGGGTCTTCTACAGTGCTTTTACAAGGTTAATATCTATTTTATATGATGTAATTCTATAACTATGCTGATATGGTTGTTACCTCAACTCTATAGATGGGGAAATTGAGGCTCAGTAAGATCAATCAATTTATACAAGCTTACAACACAGGTTAAATGGTAGACCTGAGCCTGAAACTCAGACAGGTCTTCTGAATAGTACCCTCACCCTTTTCTCACTATGCCATTGCTGCCTAAATAGGCTGTCTCCAGGGAAATAAAAAGAAAGTACTGCCATGTGCAGACATTACAAAAAATATAAAGCTCTATGGAATCATAAGGTATTAGCAGAAAGGGTAATGCTGAGACTTCAGCACACAAGGACAGGTAACCTGGGTTGGAACATCTTCAGATTACAGGGGTCAATTTTAACATTTCATCCTTTTAAAAGAAAATAATCTATGAAGAATTTTAATCTTTTTAATCTGTCAAAGGCATGATCTGTAGACTGAGCTTTTTTTCTAAAAGTAATGATGCATACATATTGATCACACTACATTCTCTCATGCAGATTCCCTAAAAATAATAATAAGCATATAGTTTCAATTATTGTGACATTATCAGTATTCCTTAAATAAATACTTCCACAGAATCACAACTATATGTAGGCTGAGAGTCAAGACCCTAAGGTTTCTTTTTTAAAAAATTTCTCAACTTACCAATTAAATAGCAGAAGAAAGTAAAAATCGATTTTGATTGGAAGAATTTATGTTATGCTAGAATATATCACAAGATCTCTCACATTTTTGACGCTTTGGAAATAATTTAGGAGAGTATTATAAAAAGGGGAAGGAGTTCAATTTGACAGATAATTCCATTACTCACTATCCCTCAACTTGGTACCCTTAATATTCAAAGACAGCTCCAATTCACCAGGAAATAAACCACTGTTAAGATGACCAAGACAGTGATTATCTTGAATATCTACTGAATATATGAATACTAGGACAGTACCACCAAAATTTTTTTTGTCATATTTAAGTGTATTTGAATGTGAAGAAGCAAGTAACATACTTTTAAAACATTTCTGTGAAATCCCAGATGATCTTAAGGATTAGATAATGAACACTTCTAAAGTCTATAATTAAAAAAAAAAAATGCCCAAACCTCTAACCTGATATAAACCAAATGATTATTTCCATCAATAAATAACAAATTCAACTTTAATACATGCTTTTTAGAAAAAAATCAGAGAAATCTTAAAATCTTACATCCTGATGTCTAGATCCATTGGGTTTCCTAAGAGCTACTGCAACAAAATGGTGCTCATCTATTTTGCTTTCCTGAAAAATAAAACATAAGTAAATAGAGAATACTAAATATAGAAACATAGATATATTTCTATTTACATTTAAAAAATTTCACTCCCCCCAACCATATACACACATACATACATATATATCTCCACTCCCCCCGACTTGAAGGAATAGTCACATATATTTTGGCCCTTTACTCTGTAATATTTCAATATATATTTCCTAATAGGGACATTCTCTCACATAACCACTGTAGTTAATAACTTTGGTAAATTTAACATTAAAATAATACTTAAATCTACTCTCTGTACTCCAACTTTTGTGAATTAATCCAGTAATGTCCTTTATATCATTTCCCCACCTCCAGTACAGGAGGCAGTCTAGGGTCAAGTATTACATTCAGTTGTCACTGTCTTCCTAGCTTTTCTTTTGTCTTTTATGATGTTAGTATTTTAAAATATAAGCCCCATCCCCCACTTTTTACTAATAAACGTTGGCTATTTTCAGTCTGATGGTTCTTAATGATTACACTTATATTATACATTCTTAGTAAGAATACTACATAGATAAAATATCCTATCTAGAGGCACATCTAGATAGCCATCTGCCCTCACTGGTGATGTTAGTTTTGTATATGCTTAAAGTGTACATTTAAAAAAATTAGATTGCAACACTGGTTTATAAGCATTTAGTTAACTACATACTATAGCCTATGGAAAATCATGGTGGAAATTCATAGGTAAGACTTAAAAAATATGTAATTTCCTATTTTCCCCTATGTATGAGACAAAGGGGGAGGGGGCTTTAAAATATAATAGACATTGAGGCAGTTACCAGAGAAATGTATGAACAACTGTTAAAAACTAAACAAAATTTCACCAAAAAGCCACTTTACTAAAGCAGTCTTCCATAAGACATGAGTTGAAATAGGAAACTACAATCAGAAACAGTATTACTTAGGGACTTTTCATCCTTCATCCTCTTCCTCATATCTTCATACGTTAAGATATCCAAATTAGCAAAAAATAAATAAATAAATAAAAGAAATTCAAAAGAGATAAATTTAGGAAAACATTTCAAGAGAAGAAAAAATAACTAAGTATGAGAAAACATTTAATAGGTCAAAGTTTGTTACCGTAAACAAAACTATTCTTTTTGAACATGGTTCTCCCATTCTTTACACTGAATGTATCAATAATATAAACACTAACATACAGAGATGTTTTGGCTATAATTATTTTTGGAAAACAACTTAGATCAGCAGTTTTGTAGTGTCTGTAAGGCGGAATATCAAGAGGTAACCGTGGGCAATAACTAGTTTGCATCCAGCCTGTCCACTAAAATGCCACTTAAATGCTCAGTTTGTTTACTTACCTCGTTATAAGCCAAAATTCAATGAGACTGATTTCAAAATATTCACCGTATCTACTCAGACCACATCAACATCACATAAATATGAAATTTCAAAACAGCAAAACTAGAGAAGTTATTTTACAATGACTCCAGTTTATCAAACATTAATATTTGATGTCTCACTAGAATAAAAGTTCTATGAGGTGATCACCTTTCCCTAAATCCTTTCTGCCTAGCACATCTATAATAAATATTAGTTGAAAAAAGAAATTAACCCAGCAAGCTAGCTAGCTAGTTAAGCTAGTACATTCAATGCTACTGAACTTGACTTAATTTTAAGACTTTATAAATTTTCAAAAGTTTCCTAAGCTTAGAGTTTTTTATCCATAAAACTATTGTGAATAACAAAATTTCCTTAAAATCTCCAACAAACCCAAAGGGAGCAAGAATATTTTACTTTTTCAGGAGATAGTTTAGCATTAGATTACAAAGATTAACCTGCTTTAGTCAAATTTTATGTCATTTTCTTAGTATGTATTTTCACCTTATAAAGTAAAATAAAAGTTTAAGGTATAACTTAAATCATTCAACTTTTACAATGTTTTCCCAATGGTAAAGTACTAAAGAAAATCTGTCATAAATGTTAATATATCTTTTTTTTTTACATCTTTATTGGAGTATAATTGCTTTACAATGGTGTGTTAGTTTCTGCTTTATAACAAAGTGAATCAGTTGTACATAGACATATGTCCCCATATCTCTTCCCTCTTTCGTCTCCCTCCCTCCCACCCTCCCTATCCCACCCCTCTAGGTGGCCACAAAGCACCAAGTTGATCTCCCTGTGCTATGTGGCTGCTTCCCACTAGCTGTCTATTTTACGATTCATAGTGTATACATGTCCATGATACTCTCGCACTTTGTCACAGCTTACCCTTCCCCCTCCCCACATCCTCAAGTCCATTCTCTAGTAGGTCTGTGTCTTTATTCCTGTCTTACCCCTAGGTTCTTCATGACATTTTTTTTTTCTTAAATTCCATATATACGTGTTAGCATATGGTATTTGTCTCTCTCTTTCTGACTTACTTCATTCTGTATGACAGACTCTAGGTCCATCCACCTCACTACAAAAATAACTCAATTTCATTTATATTTATGGCTGAGTAATATTCCATTGTATATATGTGCCACATCTTCTTTATCCATTCATCTGATGATGGACACTTAGGTTGTTTCCATCTTCTGGATACTGTAAATAGAGCGGCAATGAACATTTTGGAACATGACTCTTTTTGAATTATGGTTTTCTCAGGGTATATGCCCAGTAGTGGGATTGCTGGGTCATATGGTAGTTCTATTTTTAGTTTTTTAAGGAACCTCCATACTGTTCTCCATAGTGGCTGTACGAATTCACATTCCCACCAGCAGTGCAAGTGTTCCCTTTTCTCCACACCCTCTCCAGCATTTACTGTTTCTAGATTTCTTGATGATAGCTATTCTGACTACTGTGAGATGATATCTCATTGTAGTTTTGATCTGCATTTCTCTAATGATTAATGATGTTGAGCATTCTTTCATGTGTTTGTTGGCGGTCTGTGTATCTTCTTTGGAGAAATGTCTATTTAGGTCTTCTACCCATTTTTGGATTGGGTTGTTTGTTTTTTTGTTATTGAGCTGCATGAGCTGCTTGCAAATTCTGGAGATTAATCCTTTGTCAGTTGCTTCATTTGCAAATATTTTCTCCCATTCTGAGGGTTGTCTTTTGGTCTGGTTTATGGTTTCCTTTGCTGTGCAAAAGCTTTGAAGTTTCATTAGGTCCCATTTATTTTTGTTTTTATTTCTATTTCTCTAGAAGGTGGGTCAAAAAGGATCTTGCTGTGATTTATGTCAGAGTGTTCTATGTTTTCCTCTAAGAGTTTGATAGTTTCTGACCTTACATTTAGGTCTTTAATCCATTTTGAGCTTATTTCTGCGCATGGTGTTATAGAGTGTTCTAATCTCATACTTTTCCATGTACCTGTCCAGTTTTCCCAGCACCACTTACTGAAGAGGCTGTCCTTTCTCCACTGTATATTCCTGCCTCCTTTATCAAATAAAGGTGACCATATGCATATGGGTTTATCTCTGGGCTTTCTATCCTGTTCCATTGATCTATATTTTTGTTTTTGTGCCAGTACCATACTGTCTTGATTACTGTAGCTTTCTGTATAGTCTGAAGTCAGAGAGCCTGATTCCTCCAGCTCCGTTTTTCGTTCTCAAGATTGCTTTGGCTATTCGGGGTCTTTTGTGTTTCCATACAAATTGTGAAATTTTTGGTTCTAGTTCTGTGAAAAATGCCAGTGGTAGTTTGATAGGGATTGCATCGAACCTGTAGATTGCTTTGGGTAGTAATTTTCACAATGTTGATTCTTCCAATCCAAGAACTTGGTATATCTCTCCATCTATTTGTATCATCTTTAATTTCTTTCATCAGTGTCTTATAATTTTCTTCATACAGGTCTTTTGTCTCCTTAGGTAGGTTTATTCCTAGATATTTTATTCTTTTTGTTGCAATGGTAAATGGGAGTGTTTTCTTGATTTCACTTTCAGATTTTTCATCATTAGTGTATAGGAATGCAAGAGATTTCTGTGCATTAATTTTGTATCCTGCTACTTTACCAAATTCATTGATTAGCTGTAGTAGTTTTCTGGTAGCATCTTTAGGATTCTCTATGTACAGTATCATGTTATCTGCAAACAGTCACAGCTTTACATCTTCTTTTCCAATTTGGATTCCTTTTATTTCCTTTTCTTCTCTGATTGTGGTGGCTAAAACTTCCAAAATTATGTTGAATAATAGTGGTGAGAGTGGGCAACCTTGTCTTGTTCCTGATCTTAGTGGAAATGCTTTCAGTTTTTCACCATTGAGGATCATGTTGGCTGTGGGTTTGTCATATATGGCCTTTATTATATTGAGGAAAGTTCACTCTATGCCTACTTTCTGCAGGGTTTTTTATCATGAATGGGTGCTGAATTTTGTCAAAAGCTTTCTCTGCATCTATTGAGATGACCATATGGTTTTTTTCCTTCAGTTTGTTAATATGGTGTCACATTGATTGATTTGCGTATATTGAAGAATCCTTGCATTCCTGGAATAAACCCCAACTGATCATGGTGTATGATCCTCTTAATGTGCTGCTGGATTCTGTTTGCTAGTATTTTGTTGAGGATTTTTGCATGTATGTTCTTCAGTGATACTGGCCTGTAGTTTTCTTTCTTTGTGACATCCTTGTCTGGTTTTGGTATCAGGGTGATGGTGGCCTCGTAGAATGAGTTTGGGAGTGTTCCTCCCTCTGCTATATTTTGGAAGAGTTTGAGAAGGATAGGTGTTAGCTCTTCTCTAAATGTTTGATAGAATTCGCCTGTGAAGCCATCTGGTCCTGGGCTTCTGTTTGTTGGAAGATTTTTAATCACAGTTTCAATTTCAGTGCTTGTGACTGGTCTGTTCATATTTTCCATTTCTTCCTGATTCAGTCTTGGCAGGTTGTGCATTTCTAAGAATGTCCATTTCTTCCAGGTTGTCCATTTTATTGGCATAGAGTTGCTTGTGGTAATCCTTCATGATCTTTTGTATTTCTGCAGTGTCAGTTGTTACTTCTCCTTTTCATTTCTAATTCTATTGATTTGGGTCTTCTCCC